TTGCTCTCAAGCAATGGAAACCGAAACAAGAGCCCCGCGGCTCGGGATCGCGCCCGAGACTCGCACCTCGGGCCCCGCTGCCCCCCTGGAAAGCCAACGACCGACCAACTGCAGATAAGGATTCCCGATAGACCGATCGCACGCCAGCCAGTCGAGAAACTCTAAACTTGATATCCCGAGAGGTCACAGCGCGATCCGCAACATCCACATATATAGCGGGGCCGAGTGTCTGCGCGGCACCATTGCCGCGCACTCTCTTGGATGCCAGAGCGAATCCCCCCTGCGCCGAGAAGTGTCTCTGGGCGCGGCCTTTCTGCAAATCCATCGACTTAAGATACGCCCCCATCGGCATCGCGGTCGCGCCTTGCACTCTGGCACTGCCCCCTGCAATGCGCATGAAGCTTTTTGCTCTTCCGAAGGTCATCCTTCAGCCGCTTGTTCTCATTATTCACGCGGCTGCAATGTCGGAGAACCGTCTGTAACTCCGCGGCGAGCTGGTGGGCGCGCTCGGCATCGACCCCGCCCGAATTCCCCTCTGCCCCCTGCCGCCGCACCAGCGCCACCTCCAGGGGCGCGCACGGATGCGCGCACAGGGCTGCGCGCACCTCTCCACCAAGTCGACGACGGGCGGCTCCGGGTCGCAGCAATATCACGCGGCCCGGCGGCGCAGACGGGGAGACCGGGGGGGGCGAGGAGAGCAAGGCGGAGCGCGAACGAAACAACCAAAAAAGACGGACGTGGTGGGGAGAAGGAACCAACAAAGAATAATAATAATAATAAGAAGAAGAAGAAGAAGAAGAAGAAGAAGAACGGCAGATGTACACTGGCAACAGAAGCAAAGGAGCAGAGCCCACAGCTCCTCCGTCGCCTCCGCATCCTTGCCCGCAACTGATGAACCGCTGGATCACCCACCCACCCCACCCACCCCCGCGCAGAAAACCACAACAACAAGACCATCAACAACAACGGTTATAGAATCACCAACAACAAACTCAAAAACAACAACGACAACAACAACCACCACCACGACGACACCGCCACCATCATCAACAGCAACACCTACAACAAAAACAACAGCAAACATCACACCACCTACAACAACGGCAACAACACAACCAACACCATCAACAACAACAACAACAACAACAACAACAACAACAACAACAACAAGACCACCAACAACAAGTCTTCGCATGCGTGTGGGCGCGCTTGCATCGATTACACAGGCAACCAAAAGCAAGAGAAGCAGAGCGGGCGCGCCTGGAGCACGCCCATGGAGCACATTCCACTGTGATCGTCAATGCACTCTTTGAAGCATCGCCAGCGCAGAGCAGATCGGTGATTTGTGTGCTTAAGCGGCCTGCCCCGGGCCAAACGTACTGCAACTTCTGAAGTAAGAGCAAACAAACACTGAGTCGGTCTACGCTGCAGACGGGCCGAACAGCAATGTACAGTTGGCGTTCCGATGCGCCGCAATCCATGCGCTGGCGGCGGAGAGTGCCACTTTGAGCACGCAAAAGCAATGATGCAAGGCAACGCGTTCACATTGCTATGGCAATCGATGGGATGCTACACCGCCGCCCCACTCAGCACGATCTCCCGATGAACCCACTCGGACAGCAAATGATGCCACCACCGAAACCATATATCAAAACTCAACGAGGTATTCTGTAACATGCCGACTGGAACACTAACACACAATGCGCGCACTCCTGCCCAGTGGCTATGCCCCTCTATCTACTGCTGACACGTTGCGTTCTATATACGTGACTTAGTTGTATGTATACACGGTTGGCGATCACGCATGCGGCTTTCGTGCGGGAACACGAACACATAATATAGAATATGCGTGTGTACTTGTATCTTTCTGGCGTCTGATATATTGAATCACGTGAAGTGACAGCGCGGGAACAGGGGGGAGCCGCCCAGGAGCCTGGGGAATCGAGAACCAGACGTCAAATCCCGCAGGGGCCACGAGAAAAGCTTCCCAGGGAGAACCCGATACCCACTTCGAGCGCCACCCTGGCGAAGAGGCGGTGGGCCCAACATAGGTGGAGCCCAAAAAAGGCTGCGAAGTAATAGGCGGCGGTGGACCCCCGCTCCGGGCAAGGTAAGCCCATACTTCTACATAAGGACTGTATACAGCCATGATTTCCGAAGCTCTTCTGCTTCAGCTCGCCTCGGGGAAGCTCCAGAGAGCACGAGGAAACCCCCAGGAAGACCCACGACAGCCCAGGAGGGCCCTACGACGGCCCCAAGACTGCCCGAGAGCCCTCGAAGACGGCCCCAGCAGAAGAGGAAAAAACGACATAAACATAAACTCTTGGCGCTCCGAGCGGGTCTCTTGGATCTGCGCTGGACCCTCCTCCCTGGCGCGCGGAGCGCGGGGGGGCCCAGCGCGGAGCCAAGAAATCCGCGCGGAGCGCCAAAAGTTTATGTTTATGGCGCGTCTTCCTCTTCAACTGGTGGAAGTCTTCCACGGGCGGGGCCTGCCGCAGGCCGCCGGGATACACCGTGAACTTCTGCGTGGCTTGGTCGACGCAGCTCGTGAAGTCCCACGCGCCCTCGCCCTTCGGCAGCTCGGAGACGGCGCTCTGCGCGAAGTCGTGCTGAACCGGACCTCGCGGAGGCTCTGCGCCTGGCCGGCCGGCGACGGCGCTCGTGCCGACACGGTAGAGGAGGTCGTGCTTCTGTTCGCCGCTCAGCGCCGTGAGGCACTTCAGCTGCACAAAGCCTTTGCCGCTGGCCCGGAATGACCGAGCCCCCTTGCTCGTTCCCTGCCCCTCTGCCTGCAGCATCATCTTGAACGTTGCGGCAGTGCCACTGCGGAGCGTGATCTCGAACTCCCCCGACACCGCCTGGCACTTCGACCTCAGCTTGCTGGCGTCCACTTCCCAGAAGATGCAACGATTGCCGCTGTCCGGGTCCAGCACCGTCTGCAGCTGAGGGGGCGCCTCCTGCTGTGAGGGGCAACGTCAGGAGGGACCGACTGAGGCGGAAGCATCGACCTGTGATCGGCGATACATCGCCGATAGATCGGCGATAAGCCCCCGACAGCGAATCCGTAATTACGTTCCTGGGCGGGGTGGGCCATCGGCCCCCGTCGGCGATCCATAGGCGATCGGGGGTCGACGCCTCCCCCCTGGAGCGTATCCCCGCCTATCGGCTGCACGCAAGGGTGACCCTAGGCAAGAGTGACCTGTGGTGCGCGGCCGTAATTAGGGAGGAGGAGGAGGAGGAGGAGGAGGAGGAGGAGGAGGAGGAGGAGGAGGAGAGTCCAAATCCAAGCAATCCAAGCGCGCCAGGCAGTGCAGGTCGGACCCGTGTGGGCCCGCACCAAAGGTCACTCCGGCGAATGGTCACTCTTACGCGCAGCCGAGCCCAGCGTTGCCCCTGATGCAGCAAAGAGGAGCGCGGCTCCGGGACCACGCGGGGCATCATCGCACCGCTGTCGCCACAGCACACCTGGGACAGCGGCGGGAACCCACACGGACTCGCTGCGGGGAGCCCGCCGGCGAGCGCGACCGTGCCGAACACCACCGGCAGCAGCACCAGCGCAGAGGCGCCCTCTGCCTCCTGGTGCCCCGGCGCAGGAGGAGGAGGAGGAGGAGGAGGAGGAGGACGACGACGACGAGCAGGAGGAGGAGGTGCCCCCGCCCCTGGGCGCGAGGCGCCGTCCTCGCGCGGCGGAGTCCCTGCAGTGAGCTCCGCCAGCGGCGGCGGGAAGGCGGGGCAACAGCCCCCCGCCTCGCGGGAGGGCGCCAGCTGCGCACCCGCAGCGAGCCTGGCAGGGACCCTCCTGGGGGCCGGGAGCAGTGCCCCTGCCGTGCCCTCCTCCCGGCCTGGCCGGGGAGGCCTGCGTGCACCGCTCCTCTGGGCCCAGGAGGGGCCCGTCCAGGATATCGGCGCGGGGGACCAGCGGGCGCCCTCGGACCTCGGGCGGCGGCCCCACGGGAACGGAGGGGCAGGCGGTCTCGAACTGGTCGAAGGTGCGCAGGCGGCACAGCTCCGAGGGGGCCGGGGCCTGCGGCGGCCCCACGGGGCTGGCGGTCTCGAACTGGTCGAAGGTGCGCAGGCGGCACAACTCCGAGGGGGCCAAGACGTGCGGCGGCCCCACGGGAGCGGAGGGGCAGGCGGTCTCGAACTGGTCGAAGGTGCGCAGGCGGCACAGCTCCGAGGGGGCCGGGACGTGCGGCAGCCCCACGGGACTGGGCCACTCGGATGGCTCGGCTGGCACTTCAGGGCGGTCGGCGGCCGTCGGCGTCCGACGGAGGTCAGACTGCGGCGGGGGTGGGACGATCGGCATCGCGGCGGGCGAGTCCGGGCCCTGGCCCTCGTCAGGCTCATGGGAGGGGCGATGCATCTGGGCAGGCGCCGTGGCATGACGCTGCAAGCTCCCCGGGCTCGGTGGGGCGCCAGCGACGTGCACAAAGGTGTGGCGAACGCCGACCTCGGGCGTCTCGACAACCTCTGGGCCTGGAGCTGGCACCCAGCATGTGCTCGCATCGACTGTTGCGCGTGGAAGTGGGGGGCCATCTCCAGCAACGCTGGCGGTCGTGGACGGGCTTGCCGGCATGCCGATCTCCACGTCGCCCACGCGGGGCGCGTCGCCGAGGAGCTTGCTCGGAGCGGCAGCGTGCCGCTGGAGGTCGCCCGGGATCTCGGGCGCGGTGTCCAAGAGCGTGCTGCGCGCTTCGATGGTGGGCCCCCCCGCCAACCCACGGTGCAGCCGAGCGGCACGGTCCCCGAACTGCGCCATTCGGCACTAAACCTAGCTGCGTCGGCGGATCGAAGGATCGTGAGATGTCCGACGCCCGCTCCCCAGTTCCTGGGCCGACCTTGAGTCAAAATGGTTACCGATCGCGGGACAAATCCCCTGGACATCCTGCCCTGAAAGCAATTGGCGTTCCGCCCAGTGTCACCCTGGATTGTACCATCCTGAGCTGTCGCACTAGAGTTCACGTCACAAGTGATTCCGAGGGCCAGGCTCCCATGGCTCA